GAGAGAGAGAGAGAGAGAGAGAGAGAGGAAAAGACAATAATAGTGACGAATATTACAAAAAAGAATAACTCACTCATTCTAGTTGAAGGAGAAACTCTTGGAGATGAAGGTCCCACAGGTGGACAATGGAATAACACCATCAAAAACTTAAACATACACCACTTACATACACATAATATAGGAACTATTCATTCATTTATTTATCTAGTAAACTAATAAGATTTATTTAAATGATGCATACAATTAAATGGACCTACATCATAGTGGTGTGTTAAAATTGTAGAGCAATAAATGAAAAAAACTCAACTTTAAAATGGTGTCAAAATTGTAGCGTCACAAAAGGACACAAACTCAACCTCAAAATGGTACACCAAACTTGTAAAACAACAAAGGAGACAAACACACAACTTCAATGGCCCAAGAATTAGTCTAGGAAGCATTATGGGGACCATAATGACCAGGCTTCCTAGCTTCAAGCATGCATCAATTTTCTTGAAGCTAAGGAGGCCATTTCTGGTCTAAATGAGGTTGAGGGTGTGCAGTTGATCTGTTTGCATAATCATTTTCAAGCCATCCTTAGACATCTTAATTGATTGGCATTTGCTAAGACTAAATGGATTTCTGATAGGGATCATAATACCTGTTACTATCATAATATCGTTGCTTCCCATAGAAGGCAGAATCATATTTTGTCCATTAGGATTAATGATTCTATGATTATTCAACTGAAGGAGATTATGGTTAAATTTGTACAATTATATTTTTGATATGTCGAATCAAGCCCCCTCTATTCTATCTACCAATCTTTGCTGGCCCTTCTCTTTCGGGAGATTATAATTGCCTAGTTAAACCCTTTTAAAGTAGTGAGCTTTGGGATGTGGTGAGGTCTATGGGCTATGGCAAAAGCTCTAGCCCAGATGACTTCACGATAGAGTTTATAGGGGTTGCTGGGATATAATTTCTGATTCCATGTGATCTCTTTGAATCACTTAAAACATCTATCCTGAATAGTTTTTGGGTCCTTCATTACATTTATTCCAAAGTGTCCCAATCCTAGTACTAATCAGGATTACATACCTAGCTTTTTATGCATGTTATATACACTATGTTTTGGCCGACTCCTTGCTAATTTGATTGCCATGGAACAGTCTGCCTTTCTTCTTAGTAGAAGCATTCAGGATAACATTTTAGTGGCCCAGAAGGTTGCTCATTCCCTGTATAAGTCTAGAGGTACAAATCCCTTTATCATCTTTAAAATCAACTTAGAGAAGACATGACATATTGTCTTGAGATGCTATCTCTAAGGCTCTTCATGCGTTCAATTTCCTTACAGCTTTCATTCCTTGGATTCATGTCTGTGTCTCTTCTCCTGAGTATATTTGATTGATTAACGAAAAATCATCCAGATTCTTTAGAGGTGTTAGGGGTATTAGGCAAGGTGATCCTTTGTCCCCCTACCTTTATATCATCATGGCTCAATTGTTTATATACCTTCTTCCTAAGGCCACTAGGGAGGGAAAGGTTCCTCCATTTTCTTTTAAGAATAGATATAAGCTTTACCCGGTATGTGGATGACATATTTCTTTGTTTTACGGCTACTAAAAGATCTTGTAGGACGATCGTTGAAATCTTTCAGACTTATGAGTGTCTTACTAACCAAAGAATGAATCTTAGGAAATCTGAAATTTTCTTCTCGGTTGATATTAAAAGGCAAACTAAATCCTTGATCTGTGATTTTTTTTGGTATTAAAAAGGGATAGTTCCTTTTAAATATCTTGGAATCATGAATTCTTGTTGTATGCTTGCATTTGCTTTTGATTTTCATGTGTAGTCTATCCAATAGAAGCTTAGTCCTTGGTAGACCAATTACTTATCTCAAGCCGACCGTGTAATGCTGATTAAATCTATTCTTGTGTCATCCCCTATATTGCTTGCCGTTTCTTAGATACCCATAATGGTGCTTAACCATCTCAAAAGAATTTCTAAGAATTTTTTTATGGCAAAAGGGCCACAATGTTAGAGGATTGCATCTCGTTACTTGGAGCAAAGTCATGCCCCCAAATGTTAGGGTGGCCTTGGTGTGCAGAATCTTGAGTTCACCTCTACTGCTCTTCAGTCCAAAAGAATTTTTAACTTTCTCATGCTGACGGAATTTGGCTTGATGTTGTACGTGCAAAATTTGCGTTAGTTTCTCCCTTGTAGGTCACTTCTACAGCTAATGCCAATTGGTCTTGGAGGCTTTTTTTTGAAGGCTATGTGTTAGAACCCTTGCAGATTCTAAACTTGGGGTTGATCTCTTTAGGGGATCGGCCTCCTTGGAACTCTATAGGGGTTCCTCCCTCCAAGTTGCTGCTCAAAGGCTGCAGAAAATATTCAGCTATTGCTTATCAAAAGAGAAGGAATACATGGCTATTTATAGGGCTTCTAAACCCTAACTCCTAATAGGACTCCTACTTAAGACTCTTACTTCTAACCAACTCCTAATATGACTCCTACTCAAGACTCCTATTCCCTTACAACTCCTAATTCTTCTCTAAGAAAAAACCTCCTAACAGAATGTCCCTCTCAATTAGGACTCTCCTAGTTAGAGTCCTAACAGAATGTCCATCTCAATTAGGACTCTCCTAGCTAGAGTCCTAACAGTTTTACATGAATGTCTCTCTTTATTAGGACTCTTCTAGCTAGAGTCCTAACAAACCCGCCCTCTTCAAATCAGCCTTGTCCTCGAGGCTGACGATTCATGAATTTTGAGAATTTTATCTTCAAGTCGTCATAGTTCTCCCAAGTGGTATCTTCTGTTGGTAGGTTCGCCCATTGTATTAGCATTTTAATAGTGGGTCGTCGTCGTCGAGTCACGATCCGTCGATCAATAATGGCACTTGGTTGGGTCTGGAGTTCTCCTTAAGTAGTCATATTTGGTGGGTGGCTTTGGGCTGTCTCCAAGCACCTATTTACAATTTCCGTTTGGCTGTCGGTTTGTGGGTGATATACCATACTACTTTTCAATTTAGTACCCTGCATATGAAATAACTTTGTCCAAAATCTGCTCATGAAGATGCAAGTAGAATTTGTCACGAGCACAATGAGTCCCTTATAGCGTAATTCTTTTGAGTCCGAATTGTAATGAGCCATGGAGCTTGGTACTTCCTCCAATTTTTTTATAATATTACTAGTCTCCGAATATTCCTGCCATTCCATCTTATTATCCTCAAGGAAGTCACTAGTCGGAAGTGAAACGACCGAAAATTCAGTTTGCTCGGGTAGCCGTGAAAGCGCATCTGCAATAATATTCTCTTTCCCCTTTTTGTAAGTTATTTTATAATCAAATTCAAGAAGTTTTGTTACCCATTTTTGCTGCTCAGGGGATGATATCTTTTGCTCCAAAAAGTACTTGAGGCTTTTATGGTCGGTTTTAATTTGAAATCGTCGACC